AAAAAAAAAAAAAAAAAAAAAAAAAAAAAAAAAAAAAAAAAAAAAAAAAAAAAAAAAAGAATAAGGATAAACAGGCCATCAACTAAACCGTCCATTTTCAAATTTCTTTTCCCACAGGTGTGGTTCCAAAACCGCAGAATGAAGGATAAACGCCAGCGTCTGTCGATTTGGCCATACCCTCTGTACGCGGACCCGCAGCTGACAAGTGCGCTTTTGGCGGCCTCGATGACCATACCCGGTTATTCGCCAATCACACCACCAGGTCCAAGCCACTACGGGCCCACTTATGCTACGGCTGCCTACTACGCAGCGCGATTCTCACCTTACGGTGCCACCCCCTTGTCGCACCACCACCATAGACCACACGCCCACCACGGCTACGCGGCTGCCCATCCACACCTACTTACAGCCCCAGGCCCGCACCACCCGACGGTTGCTTCCCTACCGCCCCTACACCTCTCAGGGCTTGGCACGATGCAGCCCGCACAGCAACAGCAAGCGTCTTACGTCGGGCCTACAGTCAGCAGCGCCTCGCAAATCTACACAAACAACGTGCTGCCCTCGTCTCAGATGAGCCCCCAGTCGGACGCCTCCACTTCCAGTGACTGCGACTACAATGGAAACATCACCGTGAGCAGCGCCACCTCCTGCGCCACCACCACAACTTCGCCTAGCAACAACAACAACAATATCGACAAGAGGCTCGTGGCACCCGTACCTTGCAAGCCCTCCGTTCCCGCTGCGTTGCACTTTTCTCCGGACAAGATGCCCATCAGTCAGGCCGTGGCAGCTTTCTACAGCAACATTATGATGCCCGAGAACAACAACAACAACAACAACAGCAGCAGCAGCAGGTATTACCACCACATCCCGGCCAGCTACAGGACTCCGAGCATCAGTCCGACGAGCGACATCAAGATCAAGTCGTCGCCCAAGCTCTTCCAGCCGTACAAAAACGACGACGTTCTCACGGCCGCGGAATAAACGACTTCTACGGGAATGTCGACTAGTATGGCGCTCGTGCTCCGTTGTTATTGTTGTTACGTTTTTAAGAGAAGGTGCGGTATATGTTTCTTATTTTTTATTTATTAACTTCTGCGATTATTAATTCTGTAGGGGAGGGTTGGGTAAGCTTGTCCATCACCTGATTGCATTTTTATTAAAAGGATTTATCAACTCCTTGAATAGTTTTAAAGAAAGTGGCTAGCATGAGCTTCTTTTCGATGATATATAGTAACTTTAAAGAGTTACTGAATTTTCAAGAAAATAAATATTGAAGTTTTAATGTTCAATTTTCCATTCCGGAGCGATTTTTAAATAACCGGGAGATAACAAAAAAGTACCATATACAGACTGATGAATTTGCCTACAGTAAAAATTGAAAATAAAAGTTTTTGTTAAACTTTTTGTTTTTTTTTTCAACGAAATTAGTACACTAGATTTACTTAATTTACCAAAAACAAAAAAAAAGCAATATTGGGTAGATTTGCTCACGATAGTGGGGCTTATTTAGCACGAGGGCGTCTGGGGCGCGTGTTCGTTTGCATGTCAACATAACCTACCCATTGGCAATGTAAATAGTAAAAGACTAAGTTTAAGTTTTTACAGCTCATGCTTTAGGAAATTTACCACACAGTTGTGAAAAATTCATGAAGCTCAGCGCGGCATCAACACAACATTAACTCATCCTTGAACAAAAACCAAAATTGTGCATGATATACATGTTCATAGAGTTTTCAAAGTCAAATGAGTTCGTGTTTGTAGAACCGCTTGTATAATTTCTAACAACTGTTAAAAAATTACCAAAGCATGCGAAAGTGTTCCTAGCACTAGACATTATTTAAAGTGAGAATATTTATTAGAACGTTTAAGCATGATTGCTTACACATTATTTTCTCGTTAACTTTGTACGATGTATATTATAGAGATAAACATTATTATTTATTGCTCATATTCAGATGCGATCAAACCAAATCACCACAAGTTATAGTTGAAATTGATGCAATAAAAAATGTGTTTCTGTGATTTATTATAATAATGAAGACTGATCAAAAACTTAATAAAAATGATCATATGGTATATATGAAGTTTTATTTTATTTTTAACAAAAAACATGCGATATTACTTTTTTGATCATCATCACTGATACAATCTGCCCGTGCCAAATGAGCCCCACCCTCTGGCGTTAACTCCACAATTGGGGTAAATACAGGCAATGTAACTATATTGTTTTAACCTAAAAATATTACGTTAGGTGAAGTAATTGTTTCTCTCATTATTCAACAAAAATCTTTTCGTTTGTATTGGCCATGGATTACTGTTCAAACAAGCGTTTGCATTTATTTTGCCAATAACGACCCACTCTCCCCTGTATATTTCGTCATTATTGCTGATACATTGTTGATTATGTCAATATGCTGTTTACATTGAGAGTTGGCTTCGGGTATTACGATCTCGTCACTGCCGTTCGTTCAGTCTACCCGCCGACTCAATGAGTATTAATTATTACGTAAGTGGATGATGTGTTTGTAAATAGTATGAATAGAGCAAAGGAGATTGTACATAATTATAAAAGCTACTTGATGTGTCAAGGAGATCGATTTACAATGATTTGTGCGAATGAGAGAAGTGTACTAACGCGCACACGCGTGTTTTTTTTTTTTTTATAGATGTACTCTGTGTCGATGTGCACTATGTTCCATTTGTTCGTTAACTTATTCTATAGACACTCTTGGTACGTTAGTGCATATATTTAAATGTCTGCTGAAATTTGTAAACTGTGTTTACACCGACTTGGTAGGATAATTGAATACGAAAAATGGCATATGAGTATCATAAACATTTGAAACGACTTGATGGAATTTATTGTATTTATATGAATGTCTGTAAATAGTCTTAGCGAGTAAGATATTCCAAAGAATATATAAAGATTTTACTATAAATCACTATCATAAAAGCGCACAATTGCTTATAATTCTGAATAATGTTTACGATGATGTAATAAGAGTAAAATAAAATTCTCACAAAAATTCGTAAAAAATAACCATTAAATCTTGAACCACTAAAAAAAGACAGCATGAAACTTGTTGTACGTAGTGGTAAACCCCTGAGAGCAGATATACTCAGTACAAAAAAGATTTTACTATAAATCACTATCATAAAAGCGCACAATTGCTTATAATTCTGAATAATGTTTACGATGATGTAATAAGAGTAAAATAAAATTCTAAGAAAAATAAGAAGATAACTAAGTTATGTATTTAATTATACAATATACACGGTTTATCTAGTTTTTTGGTTTATTATATTTGATCCTATAGTTCTTGTCAATAACCATAATTTTACATAATTACTAAATAAAGTGTACAATGCATATCAACCGATTCGCTTGACGGAGATAGATTTTAAAATTGTGGACAACTACAATTTAGACCTCCTCAAGTGATTTAATGGTGTTTCATAATATTATAATGCAAAAAGCGTTTTCGGAACTCCACTAAATTCTTCATTCATTAATTAACTGCTCGAGAATCAGATGTGACTATGGTTTTTTGATTACACATCGCAAAAGGGCTAAAACTAAAAAATATGCATATTATTGTTCCATCGTAAATATTCCCCCTTTATCGTAAAATTTTCCTCGTTCGACCTGTTGGTAAAAATAAATTCATCACCACGTCTCCCCTCTCCTCCCCGAATACCGTCGGAAAAACGCTCGATCCAAGAGAGCTTCGATTCAATTTGCAAGTCCGTTTATAACTGTCTCGTGCGTCAGTATTATTAACGACTCATCCCAGCTTCCACTCTACATGCATACGAGCACCCACACACTCGTACTCGCATGTATTATACTCTCCAATCCCGTATAATATATATACGTAAGCGCCTCGAGGCGCTCGATTTCATTCTCAACGAGACGTGTAAAAAGGAGGCGCACGCGTTCGTGTAGAGGGAGGAGACGTGGGTATATGTACTTGGATCACGCGGTGTTTTCGGGGGTGGAGGAGAAGAGCTCCATGAACACATGGGCCGTATTAACAACGCGTAAACGGGCTTTCGGTGTATGGGGCGCTGTTGACTTTGTACTCCCTTTTGCCGTGAACCATGCGGATGGAAGAGATTTAGCGACTGGTGTAATGGGACCAATCGAGTCTGGTCACGTGAGACGACAATTTTCGAGCCGACGCTGATGGCTGGCCGATGGGTGCTTCGAACAATGGGCGCTTTAACGCTCGGGCGTTTAATCGCATGAGCGGGCTTTTGTCGTCGCGGTGAATTACCGAAATTTACACTTACTCGGTGACTGAAAAACGGCGGGGGATTTTTAATTTTTTTTTTTCTAAATTATCGAGTCGTCGCAGTAGAATATACAGAGTAGCAACAACTTAAATGCTGAAAACTGACATGTGTCTTGATTTATGGTGGAAAAAAAAGTACAACAATTTTTAAGCGCCGACTTGTGTCACAATGCTAAGAAAAAAAATCTTTTTTTGTTTTTGCAACTTTAATGTTCTCTACGCAACATAGGTTAATAAATTTTACAGATTTATAACTAACAGTTTAAGGTTTTAACTTTATTCAAACCCTAACATATTTACATAACAACAAAACAAGAAGTGTCATTATTTGGGATACTATAGCATACGTAAATTAAATTATTTACTTTAGTGCGTTTTATTGTATTCATTTTTAAGCGCCTAAAATGATGCAAAAAATTGAGTTTTTGCATCCAAGGCATGGCTGCCACATTTTTTTATCAGAGCAAAAAATACAACCGTGTTCGTATGAGTGCTACGCACTCGTGTCCTCAACTGGTACTCGTTCCCGTCAACTCCGGCCACTCGTGCGAGTCAATCACGACTCGTGCGGGAAATCGTCCCGCACGAGTTGCGTACAAGTTTTTTCGCAATGTGTGAGGAAAATAGGTACAAAATAGGTATGAATTTTGATTACCAGTGTGTAGCAAAATTTTTTCCGGTGTGTGGCAAAACCTTTGCCGCACACTTTTTCCACACACTGTGCGACAAAAACCTTTGCCACACACCTTTTCCGCACACTGTGCGGAAAAACCTTTGCCGCACACTATTGTGAAATAGTAGTTTTCCTACGAGTTTGAAAAGTCTTTGTTTGCGAACCGAGAGGTTTGCGGCCCGAGCCGAAGGCGAGGTCCGTAACGAGGTTCGTAAAGGAGACTTTTCGAACGAGTTCCGGAAAACTGCTTTTTTGCCCGAGGAAGTACCAGCCTCCCAAAACCACCCGAGGGCGGAAAAATATTGAATGATCCGTATGTGTGTGCGCATTTAAGTTATTTATATACTTAACAATTCAGTTTATCTATTATTTTGAAAAAATTTCGAACAAACAACTGTGTGGTTTTTTTACACAGTTCAACTTTTTTTTTTTATTTACATACTTCTTACTTGAAAACATAATTTTGCACTTTCTTGTTTGCAATGCGAAACAAGTAACTACCTTTTTCATCGATTCCAAAGATGCAAATATACATACCCAACACCCCTTTCGATGGATGTCAAGTAAATTTAATAAAAACGAGCGTAAAATCATAAGTAATGTAAGACAAGGCTTTACGAATGCATTAAGTAAAAAATTTTCAGGTTTTTCCCCGTGATTATTTCAGATTATTTCAGCACCGCCAAACACGCACATAAGTGTAGGTACAGCTGCAACTCGAGGAGAACATTGGAAAAACATGAAGGCTCGCTCGTTGCTGTGCGCTCGTTTGACTCATAAAAACATAAACTCTTTCCGAAATGTCCAGTAAACTTATATAAACCTGCACACGAGGAGGGCTTCGGAAAGAACAAGGAAGGCACCCGGGCCGGGAGTTGCACGGGATACAGGAGGGGACTCGTACATGGGGAAGAGCGGACAAGTAAAAAACACTAATCTAAGGTCGTAAACGTAGAACGAGGCGTTTTGTTCGGGAGGCGTAAAAAAATTATCGAAAAAATTAGCCCTCGTAT